GACCATTTTGCAACACAGTTCGTGACCCTCGGCGTCACCCGACTGACTATATGAGCGTTCTGTTCAACTGTTAAGCTAGGATTTATTACCGTTATTATCATTATATTGTCACGTGATTTGTTTTACCTTATGTGTAATGTCTTAAGTATTTTTATTGTAATTTGTATATACCAATTCGTATATACCGAGGAAACGACCCCGATTGAAGGTCATGTATTTTATGACGTCACCAATTCGTGTGTAGGTACTGCTTCTAGATCTGTGCCCAAAAAAGTAAAGGAAATACAGTTTTATAAACTTTTAAAATAAAACAATTAATGTGTGTGTTGTTGTCTGTGTTGCATACCTTCAAACTGAGCAAGGTTTTGTTTAATTGAATACTATTATCATATCATTAATTTTGTAAGCTTCTAAAAACAATTCTTTCCTTTGTGTATGATAAAGACATGGAGAAATGCTATTCATCTTCAATGTCACTGACATCACAATTTTCATATATCAATAACAGACATATTATTATGACGACCACATTCAATTTTTAGTTGGTGGAATGTGGTGAGAGACTTACATAGAACATTATTTTTCAAACCAGTTAGGTAACTTTCTAAGTGGATATTCTTTTTAAATACCCTGTGCATGTATGTTCTTAATTTGTTCACGGTTACTGGTAACCATGGTTTATTTCTTGCATTTGGATTTGCTCTGTTTTCATTATAAATTTCTTTTGCCAAATTTTGTTTTTAAAAATTCCTTCAAGGTTTCATGTTTGTATTTATCTGCTGTTTTTTTAATGTTGATTCTATTTTCAGAGTACCATGATTTGCCCTTGAACTTTTGTTTGTTTCATTCAGTAATGTGTTTTCGCTGTTACTGACCTGATTGTAAAATTTTATCAGTTAAAATTGTTTTTTGGATGAAAACTTTTGCTATGAATAGCTAATTTGGAGGTATGCATTAATACGCCTAATACTAGCTTTCATATTACATTCATCAGCCCAGAAGTCACTACCACAGACAATATTTGGTCTGATTAATTTATCAAAAATTGATAGTGATAAATGTTCATTTGGACTGCTAACTATACCAAGATACTGTAAAATACTGTAAAATATTAGCTGTAAATTAATTTTCACTGAAAAGATATTTTGGGTGTTTTGTTTGATATTTTTGTTCCCCTGATTTTTGGCGAGATGAATGTAAAATATAGAAAAAAGGTATATTGACTGGATTTTATTTTCACTGAATCATCCCTTCAGCGAAAATAGCGAAAATAATTCTAAGCATGTTCATGTTCCTTTCTTTCAAAAAATGAAAAATATTCATTTTGATGTTTGTATTTATATTTTGGCAGGATCTATTTCAAGATTTTATGAAGACTTATGATAAAAAGTATGATACAGAAGAAGGTGAGCTCCCTTCCACATGTACCTGATATATGCTACAGAAATATATGCTTAGCAGGATTTTTAATAGAATTTATTTTCAGTCACAGATCAGATCTGTGATCAGTAGTATGAGGTTATTGTTTAGAAACCAAGAAATGTGTATACAATTTCAGTATAGGGAGTATTGAGCAGTGTGTAGCAGGAGTTGATGTGACCATATACTCTTTGTTAGACTGATTAAAATGAGATCTTTGTTTGTGTTTTTGTTAGAATTATTTTATTTTCAATATTTTTATATATTTATTTCAAATTGTTTTTATTTTTATTTTATTATTTTTTATTATTAATTACCTCGGACAATATCATAAAATTACAAAACATTACCTTTGTTAAAATGACACCCATGAATCATTTCAAAATTGGAGATCTGGTTCAAATTTTGTCAATTGCAAGTCAGCACCATTACCATTTGAAAACCATAATTTTTGTTGTCAAAATTTTGATGCAACTACCAATTTAAGGTCCATGTATGCTATTTCTCAGACATGCTTTGACCAATCTCATTAAAACTCCAAATAAAGACAATGTATGGTGACTTACATATGCACACTGATTATTTTTGTTATTCGGTGAAATATGGCTGTCTGGCGGCCATTTTAGTCATCAAATTTGCTCATTTCTCATGGTTAAATGTGTCTGAATCATTCCGTGGGAAAGAACAGGAAAATTTCATTCAAAACTTTGTATGAGGATCAGCATATTGGTTCACATGTGCATGTCATATTGGCGTCCATTTTGTTTTTATTCATTTCTATGCTGATTCTTGGCTAATTTATCACCTGATTCAATTGAAAGCTTGTACTCAAGTACTATATTCATAGGTTATACTGTTGGATATGTTATTGTGAAATTTGATCAAATTTGTTGAATGACATCCATGATTGGCTGCCATTTTGTTTCTGTTCATTTTTATGATGATCCACGCTTTTGTCCTGCATGTTTTTCAGGCATGCCTAGGCTGAAACTGAACAAGGACTATGTCATTGACAATGATGTGTTCTTTATTTTATTTACCAAATTTCGTATTTTGAAAAAAATTCAGAAAATATTATGTGGATTTAAGATTTTGCATATACACTTCTAACACCATATATATTTCTATAATTGTACAACTAGAACATCAATTACGCTACCAGATTTTCCAAGATAACTTGCTGAAAGCTGAACGGTTACAACAAACTGAACAAGCTACAGGACAATATGGCGTCACCAAGTTCATGGATCTTTCAGGTGTAGTATATCGGCTTTAAATAATGACCAATTGGTTTCAGTTGTTACATAGTATATGGTCAAAACATGTCATTTTGTGATCAATAAGACAGTGAGTTGCATTGACTTTTGCAAAATTTAATCCTTGTATTTGCCAATAAATCCTTGAATGTTATTTTTACATTGTGTTTGTTTTACTATAAAATCAGACATTCTTTTTTTCCAGAGGAGGAGTTCAGGAAATATTATTTGACTCCAGTATGGCGAGGTAGTGATCCACACATGAAGAAGGCAGAGATACCGAAGGGTACACCACCTGCAGCTTTTGATTGGAGAGATGCGGATAAGAATGCTGTAACAAAGGTCAAAAATCAAGGTACATGCGGGTCATGCTGGGCATTCTCTACAACCGGCAATATTGAAGGACAGTGGAAGATAAAGAAAGGAACGCTAGTGTCTCTCTCAGAACAAGGTATAGCAAATTTCATTCCTTATTAGACATTATTGTGTTGAAATGAATTTTGTAATAATGTTGAAAACAAATTTTCCGGAGTCAAGTAAGTGATGTCGTGGGCTAGTATTTATCCATGAACCAAGGGTGAGTGGATAATATTCGGTACTGTAAAATCTGTATTAAAAGCTGCGGCTTCTATTAAAATGATACAATGCAACAGAGGGGATGCGACTTCTACACATATAAGAAATAGTCACTGGTCACTGGTAGCATAGTGGTTGTCGCTCCAGACTCATGATCGGTAGACCCAAGTTCAAATCCTGCCTTAGGCTGAACATCAAAGGGTTAACCCCTACCCTGGGTGAGTGTGCCACAGACTCAATGGGAAGGCCAATTCCACTGGCCAAGATTCATTCACTAACGAATGCGACTTTGGGGGAACCTTTGTTAAGGTCCGCAGGTGCTTGTGTTCGACCGAGCCTGGTTGACGCCAGAATAGCACATTAAAATTGCCATTTGCCAAAGAGATGGCCACACAGCCCTGTCATGAAGTCTCAAACTTGAATATGACTTCTGTGACAAAATGCACTATGTGTCAGCACTAGCACTTGCAATTTGCACATACAAAAAAAAGTCAGGAGAGACAACGGTGACATTCAATGTCCAGAACTGTCGCCTGACACAAAAATATTTAAAAAAAAAAAAAAAAAAAAAAAAGAAATAGTAAATTTTGGGGTCTGAATTGTTCAAAAAGAATGGGTGCGGCTTTTATTAGGGATGCGGCTTCTAATACAGTACTAATACTAATACTAATACCACAGTCCCTATAGAGGGACTGTGCTAATACTAATACGGTACTAGCTTATGATGTCATGGGTATAAACCACATCTATTGTAGACAATATTATTACATGCTAGTGTCATTGCATCATGGGAGTACTAGTAATTGTTGTTATTCAGTCTGAAGTCTAAGGTTGTGTATACTGTATCCACAGTGATATTTCACAGTAAACCTCTTAACACATAAAGATGCAGTATGATTTCAATGTTGATCAGACAAACATTTATGCATGGTGACTTAAATATTTAGTTGTGCATTTTGTTGTCCACTGGTTGTATATTTCGTTGTAGTGATTCTGTTGCATCGTAGAATTGATGAGACAGTTAATGCATGTGTGATACCGAAAATGCTCTAATCTTTCAAGTTTTTCTTGATGTCTCACTACATATATGCGACATATAAATGCCAATACTGACATGCAGTCAGTGTATAATGACAGATACAAACTGTGTACTGACTGGGTTGTGTTTGAATTTGTTTGTCGCCGCACAGAGTTAGTGGACTGTGATAAGCTTGATCAGGGTTGTAATGGTGGACTCCCTTCAAATGCATACCAAGAAATCATGAGATTTGGTGAGTGTTACATCATTACTTCCTTTGTGAATTATAAAAACAGTAAATATAAGAATAGCTATACACTGCATTGTAGTTGGAGAGTTATGTTCTGTATTACTGTAGACCATTATATTTTGACCGCCTGTTATTTCAATGTAAAATGTTTGCAAGGACCAAATTTTACAAAATTTTGAGTTTCCACTGCAACAACGTTTTTGTGAATTTTGCAAAGATTTGTTTCATCTCAAAATTGACATAATTTGAACATTGTGTGACAAATATTAGAGGATTACAATGTACTCTACTGCGTTATATTTGTTCCATATTGGTGGTACAAATGTATATTGTAATGACACTGAATTCACCACGTACATGTACATTGCTATATTGGATTCAAATACATGTCTACGGCTGGCACACTGTCTTGCATTTCTCCAATGTGGTTCATCATTATAATAACTTTATTACTTTACCAGTACTGTCTGACCATTATCGTATATTCATTTTTTGAATAACATACTCATAGTCGTTTATTGATTAGAGTAAACAACTTCGTTGAGACGCATGGTGTTGCATTGTGGGTACTTTCTTTGTACAATAACGAAACGTGTCAAGGAGCTGGGAGTATGGTGATTATTGTTACGCTAAAAACCAAACTAATTAATAATGAGCTGACATATTAATTACATCTTTGTGATGTTTATTACTATTTAGGCGGTATTATGAGTGAAGACGACTACCCATATACCGGCCGTGATCAAGATTGTAAATTAAATGCTACTTTAAATAAAGTCTACATCAATGGATCAATGAACATCTCTAAGGATGAAGGAGGTGAGATTATTATACATTTGACATAAAAAGCAGTACTAGTACTTGCATTTGTTTGATTCATATTTGCATATTTTCCAACATTCAAAATTTGGGTCCTATTTCTGTCGCATTTAAGCACTTTCCCCTGTTGAGTCAAGTGTAGTAACAATGACATAAAATAGAATCAAATCATTGAACAATGACATGCATAAAGTACGTTTCTACTGGCATTTTACTAAAGTATCTGGCTCATTTTTTATTTTAACAGTATTTTGGCAGAAACCAAAAAAAAAAAAGTTGTGAGCAACCTTCTTTGAATTGATGTGCTCACTGACCAAAAACAAGTATAACTTCCGGCCTTGTATGAAATAATTCTCTGTAACAATTACCATAGTTCTATATCTTATTTGTAAACCTGTCACCTCTCACCAGGTATTTGCCTGTGATATGGAAGTCATTGCTCGGAACTGTTGAGTCAAAATCATTTTAATCAACACATTGCATGTATTCTTCTTTCTTTGACAGTTGCCATAGTTTCAGATCTCCGTTTTACTCTGTCTTAGATAAATGAAAAAGTATGAGTTATTACTACCAGTATTATTAATGACATAATTTTGTTGGTGTTACAGATATGGCCAGTTGGTTGGCTGCTAATGGACCAATATCTATCGGTATTAACGCCAATGCCATGCAGTTCTACTTTGGTGGAGTGTCCCATCCATGGAAGATATTCTGTAATCCAGAGAACCTAGACCATGGCGTTCTCATTGTGGGATATGGAACAAGTATGGATTTGTCTCTTTCATGGTTTCTCACATCATTTTGAGTTAATTTTGTTCTTAATACTCTGGAAATCACTTAAGTTTTCTAAACTATATTTGCTATAATAACGTGTGTACATGTACTTACCTAAATGGCAGAGTTGTATATCTATACAAAAACAATCATGCGGATTTATTTTGTGTAAGGTAACAAAAAGTAACTATTGCATATTTTTTTTTTATAGATTTGTCTTCTTCTTTATATCATGAATCTAAACTTATTTTATGTCTTTTGTAGAGGATGGTACTCCGTATTGGATCATCAAAAATAGTTGGGGCAGGTCGTGGGGTGTGGAAGTAAGTTCATCAATGTTACTAATTTGTTTATTTTTTTACAATGGAGAAAATTTAACTGCAGGTGCCAAAAACCAAAGACCTTAGCTCTATGCAAAAACACACTCATGACAACTGCTCTCTGTAATAATCCTTGGAACATTGTCTTTATTGTTTGTTATTACTTGATTATTGTGAAAAACTGAAATACCAATATAGTGCACATTGTATATAAGTGGGTGTTTTTACCAGCTAATGTAATTGATTGTGTACTGGAGCATTAGTGAATGTGACTAAAGAGAAAGATTGTGCCATTGTAATATATAAACAGTCATAATCATATGTGTATGTCTTTCAGTGGTGCATTGCCTCATTGATTTAAGCGGGAGGGTCGTCCCCTACGTACACACTGGAATTGAGTTCCAAGTGACGATAACAACACACACTAAAAATGCAAAGGCTCATGAGTAGACGCTTGTTTGTAAACAATGACACGCTATGGCCATCTGACCCGTGCGCAAGTGACAACTCCCCCGCTTTAAATCAATGTACACAGCAATGCCGATATGAGTTTTCAATCAACAATGTGTGACGCAAAATGCGAGAAACAGCAAGATGACTAAGAATTTCTAAAACTTGTAGTAAATCACAGTAGTTATAATATTATTGTACTAATATTATTTATTTATGTTATTGTCTTTTGCAGGGTTATTACTTAGTATATCGCGGCGGTGGAGTGTGTGGTTTAAACGAAATGTGTACTTCGGCTATAGTGAAATAAAATACACTACATCATCTACCAGATGTGGCTTTAATTGCTACCTAGTGTACAACCACTATAAGTGAAATTAATTATCAAAATAACACTTTTCAATTCTTCCTTCGCATAAGAACCCAGTAGTGTTACGGGTACACAGTGTATTGAATCACTGTGTTATTTTAATGCAATACTGTTAATAATCAGGACTGATTTTTAAAAAATCATAAATTATAAAATATTTGTGTAAAAGTTAATTTTAATACAATCTTGAGTTCTGCCTGGGAAAGATTTCTATGATAAACAATTTGTTTATATTCACAGAATGTATAGGCAGTGTTGATCATACATTGTAATTGCATTTGGATAGAATCAAATTTGTTTCTGAATTTAATTTTTCTACAACTGATATTACTTTGTCACTTTCTTTATATGTTCTATTGACTCAATGCACTATACATATGTCTGGTGTGGTGTTTGCCTTTGATAGCATCCACATTTGATTCACATTTGATAGCAACCACAAGAAATCACGATTTCTTGGTCAATAGACCTGTTTTCTGAGAATTACTGAGCATAACTGCTAGCATAAAACTGTGTATTCTTGATAAATACTAAAGTATATCAACCCCGATTGGCTTGCGAAATCTGTGGGGTTATGATTCGTGACTGGGTTATATCCAAAATAACTAAGAAATGCCAGGCTATGCAAACAAATCAATCACAGGAAACGAATACGTAAGTAATAAACGCGTAAGAGTAGTTTATTACATCAATACAGTATATCCACTGATACACCGGAGAATTTACCGTAAAGAGATATGTAAACAAATGTGAACACAAAACACGGTAAAGACTGGCGCTAAAACACTTGCGCGTCCTATTTATAGGCTCGGTGGGATTCTGAACCCTAGGCGAGGAATGTCCCTCATTGGTCGAAAGTTACCATTAAAGAAATGTGTAATAAAGTGGTGTTTTCTATCACGTTCGCACTTGTGTCACCAACATGTCTATTTATAGACGTGGTTTAAAGCAAAAAATGGTACATGTAATCAAATATATAAAGTACAGTATTTAAGAAACTTCGACAATACAATAATCAGTGTTTTCAATAATAACGATCAAATTGCTTAACACGACACTTGTTTTCGAAGTATTGCAATTGTTGATTATTATTCAGTAATGATTATAATAACGCACAAAAAATTAATTCGTTGAATTTTTATGAATTTGAAGTAATATTCAACTTAGTTTCATTGTAAACGAATGATTTCGGTCGAACGTAAATGCTCGATGTGAGACGATATCCGCCATGTTTTCAATGCACGTGACTCATTTAAATATGTTAATGACGGTTCAGTGCCCCCGTGGTGAACGCAACGCGGTACTGTAGAGATTCACCGATGTTGTAGCAAGATCTTTATGCTATTTTGACTGGGAAAACGTCATGATTTTTTTTTTCAATCCAAAAATTAGTTGTTTAAAAAAAAACTGGGCATTCAAAGAATAATTAAACATTGTTCACAGAAATAACACAGCTCATTGTCGAAACGAAGCTTACCCATTCAGGCTATTCACAATAGGTGTCGATGACTACGGTAAAATATAAATTAGACTCTTTTAGGCATCAGGAGTGAATGAAATATCCAAAATATTAAAAAGAAAACTGCCGAAAAAACGCCGGGCGATTTCATGGTCCATTGCAGACTACTCGACCGACTGTCCATACATGTGTTGTCACTGTACATCTGCCATGTTGAATCGCAGGAGATCGGCAAAATTTTCATTACAACTAACAGTTTAATGCTCACAACATAAAAAATACGAATATACTGTAAAGGGGGTAATTATTCACTGGGTTTTAATTTAGCTTATTTCGCTGACTGGAAAAATGCGCTAAATTAAAACACAGTGAGTATGTAAAATTTAACATAGAACACATTATCTAAATGACGAAACCGTGAATTTAAAACCCACTGATTATGCCTGAAATGGTAAATCAGTGAAATTGAAACCCAGTGAAAATTAGTCATTTTACAGTAATCATAGGCAACCTACTTATATATAATGAATAAATTGGTCGATACAGGGACACCCCCCCCCCCCGAGTTGTGGATATTTC